CCCTAAACCCTACCGTAAACCCTAAACCTTAAGCCCTCTACCGGAAGCCAAAGGTCCCAAAAAGAGATGCTGCTTTAGAACAAGCCCCACACCACTCTTGCAGATGCCTGACTACTTGGAGGGTCGGGGGACTTAGTAACTCGTTGTTTTATAGACTTATACGTATCATAACCCCAATTAAGTATCATAACCCCAATTAGGGTCCCTTTCAAACAACTTTCAGGTCTACTTAATACCTACTTACTAAGTCCCCCGACCCTCCAAGTAGCAACCATCCCTCCCGCACTAAGGCACTATTTAGGGGGGAGTCCCAATATTGAGGTCCTGAACCAAAACCCTGAGAAACTTCTTAGGACCGAAACCCCTAAGGAACCACCGTAATAGGAACCCGCTTGCGGGATCCCAATCGAAACCCCAAGCGCTAAGGAACCTCTGCAGGGATCCCAATACTAAGTGGATCAGCTGCTCATCATGCTGGAGGGTTTAGGGTTTAGGGTTTAGGGGTTTAGGGTTTAGGGTTTAGGGCTCTGTTGTGAAGCGCATCCTGTCGGACTTGACAAAGGAGGCGGACAGCCTGGGTGCCCTCGGCTGCGTGTGTACAGTCGCTGTGGCGGTGCACGGGAATGGCAACAAGGGAGCCCAACAAGCGGCAGTTGGATGGCTCCGACATCGGGTGCAGCTGGGACTCGTCCCCGGAGGTGCAGTATAACCGATAACCCTCTTCTAATCACTCCCAAAAATCAATCCTCTGAAGATTTAGGTCTGAATACCCTAAACTCTAGTTGCTTGTTGGGCCCCGGCCAAACTAGTTGGCCCCTGGACAGTAAAATCTAGAGAACCTCCTAGCGAATCCCAATATCATGGCCCCTAGACCCTAAAACCCCTAAACCCCTAAACCCGACACCCTAGACCCTAAACCCTAAACCCTAGACCCTAGACCCTAAACCCTAGACCCTAGACCCTAGACCCGAACAGGAACCCAGGAAATCCCAGTATTAACGCCCCTAAACCTAAACCCTAAACCCCGCTGGGGATCCGATTTGTAGCCCAAAGACCGGTTTAGGGTTTAGGGGTTTAGGGTTTAGTGTTTAGGGTTTAAGGTTTAGGGTTTAGGGTTTAGGGTTTAGGGGTTTAGGGGTATAGGGTTTAGGGTTTAAGGTTTTTGGGCTATTTTGATGCCAAGGGTTGTAGTATAATATATACACCCCAAACCCTTCGCCAACTGTCAAGCCGATATTCGGCCTGCCCTCACCCTAAACCCCTAAACCCTAAACCGTGAACTCAATAACTACCTATAGTATTTTGGGGGGTTCCTTATTCTAATTGTAGTATAATGGGCTAAGTATTAAGGCCCCTA